GAGAAACACGATAAATTGACACGACACATACCGGATGTAACAGCAAAATTGTCAAAATCGTGTAACAGCAAAATTGTCCAGTTGTTAGATTAAGCTTTGAAGCGTTGTATCTTAGAAATGATTAAAGATATCTTACTGGAATTCTCCGAGGATTTTATAACACTATTAGACTTTACTCTGAACAAAAAGAATGTATAATTACTCTCCAAGCTTAACGGAAGTATTGTGATGAAATAGATCATAAACGAAAATGGCATGTTCATCATTAATCATACCTAAGAAGCAGAAGCTCATGAAGGATTGACATAAAGTTCAAATATATATACATATTAGACTACCCGTGACCCGCTGGGTCACTGACAGTTCAGGTTATAAAACACTGAAGTTGATTTCAACATTCGAATGAAATGAAATTTAATTTTATTATGATACAGTTAAATATTTCAATTTGTTCATGTCATCATTGGTCTAATTTATGTTCTACGTTTACTGATTGTTTACAGCATTTAGTAGGAATATAACTTCCGGGATAAACTTGAACTTTAAATCAGATTAATTAAAAAAATATTTTTTTTAATATGCCAAAAAAATATTGTTTTTTGAATATTTAAAATATTTTCTGTTTAAAGAAAACTGAAATATAAACAATTACTCTACAAATAACTGGACGAAACAGCAAAGCAGGATCTCTTTGTGTTTGTCTTTAACTTAAAAATGCTTTAATGATAAAATTGTCTGTTTGAAGAAAGTTAAAATAAAAATACTTACTGTATAAACTCGTAAATCATTATGTGCCGGGCGGGTACACCATACAAATACAGAAGTACACACTAAATCACAGATTTTTAGTATTATACATGTTTGACCTAACGGGTCACGGGTAGTCTAGTACTGAATATTAATCGTACCTTACAAAGTAGATCTTATATTTCACTATTAATTTTCAAAATGTTTTGAGCTTGCGTAAAATAGCTATAACGAATTCACAGAGAACTGAACGTTTGCATGTGTTCACATCGTAAAACCAAGAGGTCCATATATTCATAATTGCTTCCTTTATGTAGTGACACTGTAGATTCGTAGAATAGATGCGTACCTTCAGAATGAACTCGACGCTGCATTGCAACAAATAAATGTTGAAGTAGATAATATCACTTACATAAAGATCTTATTTAACTCCCTATTATACACAAAATGTGCTAGCGATAAAACCTTCATGAAAAAAAGGTATAATAACTGATACATATAATAGCTGAACCCACCGATGTAAGCTACATTTAAAGCATATTACACGAGACCCGTTGAGTCACTAAAGGTTCAGATTATAAAACATCGAAGTTGCTTTCAATATAAAAAAAAAATGTCTGTTTGCAGAAAGTTGAAATAAAAATATTTAAAATATTGTTTGTTTAAAGAAAGCTTTAATAGAAAGAAGCACACACGCAATCACGGGAAGATGGAAAAAGAGAGAAGTCGAAAGAGAGAGAGAGAGAGTGGAAAGAGAGAGGTGGAAAGAGAGAGGTGGAAAGAGAGAGTGTGTTTTTTTTCCCATTTCCTTCTCTCCCCCTTCCTACACGATAGTAAATTTACATCTTTTTTTCACCCACTCTTTATATATGACTTTTCGCAAACACACAAGCAAACAGTTCACATAGCTTTATAATGATAAAGATATATTATTTCAGGATCATTTTCCAACTTATTTAAGATGATCCTCGCCCTCTCTAACTATCTAACCTTCTGTCCTGGAGTAACAAGTTGCCTCACAGGTTTCCTATACGATTTCATTTTCAAGTCTTTTTTTCACTGCACTTTGGATTGTCATGGCTGAAACGTCTTATGAATTGAGTTGAATTTTTTCTAATTGATCTCTTTAGCTCTAAGTTGAAATGATGATCTCTCTTCCTGCTGTGACCTCCTGATCCAGTTTTCCTCTCTACTGTTTCCTCATTTTAAAACTTATTCACCATTCTCTTAATTGTTCTTGAGTGGAATTTGAAGATGGAAACCAGAGTATGTTGGTGCCATTACTGAAGGCGTGAATGATCTTTTTCCTCTCACCATTGCACAGTTGGGAAGACAGTGGGGCCGACACAAAACGATTTTAACCTGTTCCATTTCTAGCTGAATAACTCAAAGGGTTTTTCAGTGATTCTTACAAAAATAGTGTGAGGATAGCTAAACGTCTTATCTAAAATCCCGGAAAAAACAAATTTTTTTTAGTGGTTTTTAGATATTAAGCATTTTGTGTGATGGCTAATTATGCTGTTACACGATTTGAAAAATTTTACTGTTACACGCGCTAAAAGAAGGAAAATATCTCTCTTTTCACTTTTCACCTGTCGGACTCTCTTCTAGTTTCTTATTTTAACGCCAACTACATTCTTCATGCATTTAAATGCGACGTTAATCCTTATCTTCTGGCTGCGTGAATCCTTTTGTTTGTATTGTACATTTTCTCAGTTTCCTTCATTCTCGATAATCCCTTGCGTCTTAGAGGTTTTATAATATTACTTGGAATGAAATAATTTGAAAAAAAATGATAGTGCTTGAAATGAAATTTAGCAGGGTGCTATGACTATGTTTAAATGCCTATAACCAATAAATTGCTGCCATGCCATTTACTGATTACAAATTTACATGAAAGAGCACTTGTTTCTTCTTCTATGTACCATATCCCATCAAGACATTGGCGATAATGGCTCAGCACAACTTCCTATACTAAAGTAACTTTTGTTTTTCCCCATCACTCTGCTATCCATTTACTCAACCTTGTTAAATGTCTCAGTGCGCCTTCTCGGGTTAACGTTTTCTGCTGACATGAAGTAGAAAGATTTCTTTGAATCGGTTGCTAGATCTACTGCTAGGAAAGTTGGTTCCCTGTGTCGTACCATATTCTATCTTACATATGATCTTATCATTCTTCCATGCTTTGAATATTGCTGCCATATCTGGTCCGATGTTTTTGTTATGTATTTAGAGATTCTTGACAAAATAAAAAGATGAATCTGCAATGTTATTGGTCCTAACCTGACATATCGGCTTCAGTCACTTTCCCACCGCTGTTTCTATAAATACTTTCATGGTAATTGCTCTGATGAAATTTCCTCTGTGGTACCTAGACTTTATGAATTTAAGCGCAGTACTCGATTGGCGGCAAGGTCTCATCATTTGACATTTGAATTGGTTAAAACTTGTTAGATGAACAGGAATAAATTAGTTACAAGTGGCAAAGTTTCCACAGGTAATGTTATTGGTTTAGAGCTGGCCTCTCAGCTTCAGTCACTTTCCCACTGCAATGACATAGCTCCCCTGTGCCATTTTCTATAAATACTTTTATGGTAATTTCGCTGATGAATTTTGCTCTATGGTACCTAGACTTTATGAATTTAAGCGCAGTACTAGATTGGCGGCAAGGTCTCATCATTTTACAGTTGAAATGTTTAGATGTAAACATAGGTTCTATTCTAAAAGTTTCTTTTTCTCTCGCACTTCTCGCTTGTGGCACTATCTTCCGGATTCTTGCTTCCCAGTCGACTTTGAACTTTAAAAATTTAAATGTAATGTCAATCGTTGACTTCTGTTTTCTTAATTCCTTTTCTCTTTTTTAATAATTTTTTGTCATATTCTCTCACCCACTAACCTCATACCAGGAATTCAGACAAAAATTGTCCATATCAATGTTCAGCGAACATATGAGAAAGGACAATTGCACACAAATTTCGATGTATTTGTATTTAAGTTGAACAATTTACAGTGTCGTGGGATGGGAAATGTCTTTAAATGATTGTAACATTCAGTTTAAGGAACAATAAATTTATTTTTAAGTAGTAATTTTAAGAGATCGACCTAAAAAATAACAAGAATAAAAAAAAAATAAAACTGTATCTTCTATTATTGATAATAAACCAAGACATGTCAAGTCTTGAGAACGCTAACAGTATATATTGAAAAGGTGTCTGTCAAACATTTTTATGAGGTCTCGGAACATTTTTCTCCATTGACGAAATAGTAGAGTTATTAAAAATTATTATAGCGGATGTTAAATCAAATGAGCTAAGGAAAAACAGACAGGAAGATGGATTTATATGAACAGAGATAGATACGAGAATACCGAGAATTAGGCTGGTTAATTAAGGAAACTTACTGTTATACTTACCTGGCACAGGGATCCGTCCCTGTGCTGGTGGTATCATGGCTACGACTAGATTGGACAGGCTCTGACCAGCTTGGACCAGCTATGACAAGCTTAGACCAGCTCTGACCAGCTTGGGCAAGCTATGACCAGCTAAGACCAGCTTGTACTGTTATATAATCTCCACTGTAAACCATCAGTTACTACGAGTGAGAAGACACAATGAATAGATGATAGTAGTAGTAGTAGTAGTAATAATAATAATGATCAGGACCGGATTTAGATGAAGAGAGGCTGTAGTATATTCCACTTGTAAGGTCCCTCCAAATTCCTCATTCTCAGGAGTAGAGGAAAATGGAAGAGTGTTAAATTAATTTGATTAAAGCCGAGGACAGGTGTTTAAAATTAATGAAGAGTTATTTAGAATCTAGAATGCGTTATGACAGCATGTGTAAGAAATGAAAGTGTCAAAAGTATTACACACCTTGGTTTGAGCCCCGTAGATTTTGAAGCCCTAGGCTTCAGCCTGCGAAGCCTATAGATATATCTGGCACTGATAATAATAATAATATGGCTTAAAAGCAAACATTTTAAAAGCGTATATTCACATTATATATAAAACTATATTAAAACAAGGTGGAAAGAAGAACAAAGAACAGAAAAGAAAAATCTTATTCTCCATAAAGTGGTGGATCGAATAATATAACAAAACAGAAACATAATAAACTAACCGATTATCGCATCAAACTCTTTAGAGCTCAATCGAGGACAAAAAAATATAATCTTGCGCTCAGAGACTAAAAAACAGTGGGGAAATACTGCTAGGCAATCAGCATAAATCATAAATCGAATCATTTATTAGGGTTTACGGCCACATCACGTTGAAATACCGGTTCCCGTACGTTCACCGAAGTTAAGCAACGTCGAGCTTGATCAGTACTTAGATGAATAACTGTTTGGGAATACCAGGTGCTGCAAGCTTTGATATGCGGATGGTGTAATGATCAGTAGTCCGGAATTGTAAATCGAAGAGTTTCAATTCCTGTCATATTCCTTTACGCGCAAATAAATATTCATACCTTAGCAAAGATATGAATCCACTTCTCTCGGCTATGGGTTACTTAGTAAGAATCTTGTTATTAAAATCATTATTTCTTAAAAAAAAGTAAAATAAAATAAAGATAAAATTGTGTACAAAATATTGAGATTTCGGCATGAAGTTGTTGATATGCCGCTGAACAAAAAAAGAGCAACATTTATTTCATCCTGGGTATGACGATAAACTACATCCAGAAGATTGGGAATTTTGAGGATCGTGGAACCACCTCTTAATTGCTGCTGTTCCCAGGTCCACCCTGACCCAGGGTGGTAGCACCTGTTAGGGTCTCAGCTATGGGCAAATAGTGAACTCCCAAACTATGGTCAAAATATTATGAAAGTATAAAAATACATTTTTATAGTAAAATTACCAGCTATACATTTTTGGAAAAGAAAAAAATTACTAAAGCTCCCAAGAAAAATAGATTTCGGCATTAAGTGACCCATAATTATTTGATATGCCACTAAAGAAACAAATCAAGATTTATTAGGTACATTGCAACCGCAAAATCGTAACTATTAACAAACTAACATCTAATAAATACTCCGATTTGCCCCTTGTCTTTTTCAAGATATTTTTTACAGTAATCTGCAGAGACCCTGTATATTAAGTCTAAGCAGCCTTTCCTCTGTGAGCAGAAGGAATGGTTGCTGGATTTTAATGTAATCTGTTTGTTATTTGTACTGCTCATTCTCTGGTAGTAATTTTAATTTATTTTTCAATTTATTTGATAATTTTATTTATTTGATTCCATCACGAACAGTTTCTGTACAAAGTACAAATTTCATTCTTTATTTTATGTGATTTTACAGCTGGTCGTAAGTTCGAGGGCCGTCAAACATATAAGTCACTAAGTGAGGAATTGTTGTATTATGTTGTATTCAGAAAATCTTAATAAATTAAAATAAGTTTTAAAATGATGAATACACGTAAAAAATCTTTTTTTACTAATCGTTCACTCAATACAAGGCCCATGAACCACCCAAGGTAGAAGGTTACTGAGCAAGGTTTAATGTACATGAGAGGGGGAGTTAAGAAGTGTAGTTTAAAAGGATAATCTTGGATATATCGGTTAATCCTAGATTTAGAGAAGTTAAGATCATAATGATCGAAGTAACATCCTCTCAGGAGCAGCGCTTCTTGGGATGAAACTGTCAGAGTAGAACTTCATCCTTACTAACGGAATATGAAGGGAATGGAGATGATTTGTTCCCGAGAATATGACATCTAGCTGATATGAACAGTGAGAGGTCTGAACATATTAGAGAGCTGGTGGAACTAAGGAAGGTAGCGCGTTCGAACATTTACAATGGAAATAGCGATAGAAAAGCCTATGACATGTAGTCTACGGGACGATGGCTTCTAGAGTGGGAAATAATTAATCACTCGCAAGGCTGCGTAGACGCTTCTGAGCTCTACCGAGGTTGGAAAGTGAGAAACGGGCAGCTATGGCAGGAGTACCTCAAGTTTTTCGTCCGATCTGTGAAGATAGAGCATAGCAAGCGGGGTCTGGAGCGGTACAAGGATCCAGTACATTTTTCCAGCATCTTTAGTAATGGATTGTATATATGAGTTCTACTTTCGGTCGAGAGTGGATTTGGACTCCCAGTGAGCGCTTAACACAAGGAACAACCTTGAAAGAACAACCAGTCAACATGATAGGTAAAAATAAAGATGATCAGTGATAGTGATTAGTTTGATTTTGGATCTATTGAATGTTACAAGCCAGTTTTCTCCCTGCTGCGCTGCCAGAGCTGGATCAGAGCTGGGTCAGAGGAGAGATCAGCTATCAGGCTCTGGTCATGTAGATTTTGGGAGGTGCATCCATAAACTGTGGCATTCTCTGCATAGTACAACAATGACTGGGCACAATGCAAACGACTTTGAATAATATAAACAAATGGTATATGCATATGCTAGAATATGTCTTGGAGAATGAAGAAACATAAAATTCTGTCGGTCTTTGAGATTCAGAATAGAACCCAAGCTGGATCTAGTTATCGAAAACACGAGAAAGAAAGCCTGACAGATAGCAGATGTCACAGTATCTATAAATGACAATATGAAAACCTGGAGGTAGGTGAAAAACCGGACAAATCATGGAGCGTGAAGGTGACTGTCATCCTTATCGTTATTAGAGCACTTGGAACGATTACCCAAATGATAGCAGGAACTGGATATCTAAGGAATAATCGAAACCATACAGGGTGCTTAAAACGGTTTGAATTCCTAAGGAAACTGTTGGAATCTTAAAGAAACATATTATTGTCCAATCTTTAGCGATAACCACCAAAGACTTGATATAAACATAAATACGCGAATATCATATTATAATTCGCTTTTTTCTTCGTTTGTTAGTAATTTAGTTATAGGTAAATAAGTTACTAAGTTCAATAACAGACCATTCCGTCTTGATTTCGAAGAAAAACTGGAGAAAAAGATATATTAGAGACACTGCTTGGTTTAAGGAAAAGGAAGGAGTAGAAAGAAAAGGAAAAAAAGAAAGTGAAGATAGAGAAGGCGATAACACCTTCATGAGTTTAGATCTTTTCATTTGTACGCTCTTACTTCTTTAACTTGTAGTAAAGGTTCTAGAATTTCTTAGTATTATTTATCAGTAACTTCGGAAATAAACGAACAGAATCGAAGGCATAAACAAATAATAAATAATTATTTATTTGACTTCGATTGGAGTGAATCCTTCATAATTTTAGTCGGCAAAAGTCCGTTTGGCTCGGTAGTAGATAGTTTACAATCGGACTTTGGTAGTAGTCGAGAATGTGTTTACTTTGGAAATTTGCTGCGGACATCAATCTGCGGTGCATTTCTCAGGCCTCAGAAGGGCGGAAAAATGGCTTAAGCAGATGACCGCTTAGTTTCTTCACGCGACACCCTTGATTGGTTTCTCTGGCGGTCCCTTCACTTTTTCTCTGCTCGTCAGCTGTCTGTTTATATCCACTTAAAATGGCTCAAGTCTACTGGCGCGAAGCTTGGCTTCGGATAACATCAAAAGTCTCTTTGTTCTTGTTTTGATTGACCAAAATTCTTTTATTTTATCGCATTCCATTATTTTTCATTTTTTTTTTTTTATATAGGGGAAGCTATGCGTGGAGCCGCTCTTATTTGGTAGATTTCTACTCACAAAGACTAGATATCGGGGCCATCAAACATTCGCAGCCGTGTTTATTTTTTCTTCTTCCATTTTTTATTTGAATGTTGCCTTCTCATTAGTTGAGAGAATAGTATTTAGAGAGAAAGACAGACAAAGAGAGAGAGCGAGGGCGAGAGAGAGAGAGAGAGAGAGAGAGAGAGAGAGGAAGAAGATAGCGAGAAGGCGAAATGTGTTTTAAAGGAAAGCTTATTTTAATTTGAAGTCTTTTTTTTATATAATTTATTTTCATATTTTATTCTATTTTATTTTTTTTTATCGGGGCTAAACACAAATGAATGTCCTGTATTTATACTTATGAATGTTATTGTAATATTGTGTTAAGATTTTAAACTTAAATATTTCATCGGTGAATTTCCAGAGTTATCTTATAGTTGTAGAAGTAGTAAACAGCTTATTCAATCATTAACATAAAAGTTATTTGTTTATTTGTTTAGCGGCATATCAACTCATTATGAGTCATTTAGTGCCGAAATTTATTTGTGGGGGTGTATTAGTATTTTAGTAATTTATTTTCAAAATCTATTGCTTGTAATATTTTTTTTATTTTTTACAAAAATGTATTGCTTGTATTTTCTTTTTTACTATAAAAATATGTTGCTGGCATTTTTACTATATTTTTTATACTGCCATAGTGTTTTGATCCCAGTTTGAGTGGTCCACTATTTGCACATAGCTGGGACCCTTACAGGTGTTACTACCCCATGTCAGGGTCAAACACTGTCATATAGGAAGAAAATGAGTAACTACCGACACCGAGTTTCAAGCGTGACACTGGACTTATGAATATATGTTTTCCGCGAAGTGTATAAATAGCGGTGTCAGGCTACTGACTGCACTGATTATTCAGTGACTATTGAGGGAAATATCCAGTCGAATTAGTGTGAATTATTGTACATCGATAATTTGGGTTTTGATTTAGGATTTACCGGACGTTAAGCCGAGCCGTGCTACTAACAAGGTATTCACTGAAATGGTTAATTATCTTTGGTTGACTTTTACTTCTCTGTTCTTGTTAAGTATTTAATTGCGGTTGTAATTAAATACTGTTTTATCTTAACATTGAAATCTTGAGTTATACGTAATTATTAACGGCCACCGAAATTCACAAAATAACTGAGAACAACAGCAATTAACCCTAGAACACTAAACATGGGTATATAGTACCCAGCGCAAATTTTCCAATATTTAGTTACAATTTTCAGTACCTGATTTTCTGACCTAAATAATATGTTTTTCAGTTCCTATTAATGTTAGCTCAAAGTACAAAGTTTGAAGTGGCTGCATATAAAATATTTCAAATAAAGTTTTATATTTAATATTTTTTGGGATATTTTCAAAATCGGGTATGATATACCCATGGTTAGTAGTAGTGTAACTTTAATTGATGTTTAGTGTACTATGGTTAAGAGGCAATTCCACGCTTCTCAAAACCTCCTGATCAGAGGCCATATTGCTGGGTGTAGTTTACCAGCATTTCCAGAATGGCTTTCGAATTAAAATTAGAAACCCGTGAAATATTTACTAGTAATGCTAGTATTACTTTTACAAATAAAGTGGAATAGGGCGAGGAGGATGTTCTTAATATTAAACGTTGAATGAAACGAAAGGGAAATCTTGCTTGTTTGTCGTTCAGCCCTTTACTCTACCACTGAGCGATACTTTCAATAAGAAATAAATATAAGAAGCGACACAAGGTATATAGGGAGTG